TGTGGGGTTGGGGAGGGGAGTTTTGGGAGGGGTTTGGGGAGCATGGAAGGGTGGGGAGGGGTCCTGGGAGGAGATTTGGGGAGCATGGATGGGTGAAGGGGGGTGAGGGGGTCCTGGGAGGGGATTTGGGAGCATGGAAAGGTGGGGAGGGGTCCTGGGAGGGGATTTGGGGAACATGGAAGGATGAGGGGGGTCCTGGGAGGGGATTTGGGGACATGGAAAGGTGAGGGAGGGGTCCTGGGAGGGGATTTGGAAAATGTGGAAGGGTGAGGGGGATCCTGGGAGGAGGTTTGGGGGACATGGAAGGGTGAGGGGGTCCTGGGAGGGGGTTTGGGGGACCTGGAAGGGTGTGGGGGGTTGAGGGGGGTCCTGGGAGGGGATTTGGGGTCACTGTGGGGTCAGCTCAGGACTTCTTTGTGCAAAGACCAATTTGGGGCCATCCCTTCAAAAGGGGGGATCTGGGGGTCACCAAAACAACTCGAGGGGGGGTTCTTTGGGGTGGGGGTCCCTAATTTATGTCTCCCCCCTCCCCCCAACCCCCAGGTCTGGCCCTGGCCATGGCGAGGGACGGCTCCAGCGGGGGGGTGATCCGCTTGGCCACCATCACCGAGCAGGGGGTGGAGAGGACGGTCCTGGCCGGCCCTGACCTGCCCTGGGGGGATGGTGGACCCCCCTCTTGAAGGGGAGGGGAAGAGACCCCCTCCCCCTGAAAAAAAAACCCCCCAAAAATCCCCCAAAATGGGGAGGGGAGGGGCACAAAACCAACCGGTTGGGTGGGGAGGGGTCCCCTCCTATCACCCCCTCCCCCCCTTTTTGGTGTCCTCCCCACTTGGGGGGGTGTGGAGTGGAAGCCACGCCCCCCAGCGTGGCCCCACCCCCCCTCTGTCGTGACAGATAAGACATAAAACCACGCCCCTCCCCCTTGGAGGGGGTGGGTGTGTCTGTGTGTGGGGTTTGCTTTAATTACATCATAATCACCATCCATGATTCATTAACAAAGCACGGCAAAAGAGGGGGTGGGGTGGATTTTGGAAGTGGGGGGAGAGGAGGGGGAGGGGCTCTTGATTTTAGATATTTTGGTTGGGAATAAAAACCCCCCAGAGGGTTTAAAAGGGGTGGGGGTTGGGGGGTCCCCTATAGGAAAACCCCATAAGAAGTTTAGGGCTGTCCTTTTTGGGATGAGCAATCCCCCTCCCCCCTTCAAGAAACCCCCTCCCCCAATATATTGGGGGGTCAAACACCCCTTTTTACAGAGCCCAAGACCACTCCCCTGGGGTGGGGGAGGGGAGGGGGGTCCAGAGGGTTTAAAAGGGGTGTGGGGGTGGGGATCCCCTATAGGAAAACCCTATAAGAAGTTTAGGGCTGTCCATTTTGGGATGAGCAATCCCCCTCCCCTCTCCTCCAAGAAACCCCTCCCCAATATATTGGGGGTCAAACACCCCCCTTTTACAGACCCCAGGACCACCCCCATAGGCCCCCTGGGGTGGGGGAGGGGACCCCAAAATTGGGCCCAAAGACCCCTCCACTCTGATGGGGGAGGGGGGCACAAACAACCCTACAAACCCCTCCCCTCCTACCCCCAGATCCCCCTGAGGGGAAAAAGGGAGGGAGGGGGGTTGAGATACCCCAATTTCCCCCTTTCCTCCACCCCCAGATCCCCTGAGGGGAAAAAGGGAGGGAGGGGGTTGAGATACCCCAATTTCCCCCTCCCCTCCTACCCCCAGATCCCCCTGAGGGGAAAAGGGAGGGAGGGGGGTTGAGATACCCCAATTCTCCCCCTCCTCCTACCCCAGATCCCCTGAGGGGAAAAGGGGAGGAGGGGGGTTGAGATACCCCAATCTCCCCCTCCCAGGGCTGAGGGGGTGGGGGGCTGAGATACTCAATTCCCCCCTCCCCAGGGCTGAGGGGGTGGGGGTTGAGATACCCAATTTCCCCCTCCCCAGGGTTGAGGGGGGTGGGGGTTGAGATACTCCTACTTCCCCCTCCTCCTACCCTAGATCCCCTGAGGGGGAAAAAGGGAGGGAGGGGGTTGAGATACCCTAATTCTCCCCTCCTCCTACCCCCAGATCCCCCTGAGGGGAAAAAAGGGAGGGAGGGGGTTGAGATACCCCAATTTCCCCCTCCCAGGGTTGAGGGGGGTGGGGGTTGAGATGCCCCCAATTTCCCCCCTCCCCCAGGATAGGGGGGTGGGTGGGGGGTCAGGCACTGAGGAAGAGCCGCTGGTACCACTTGTTCATCTGCTCGAGGAAGATGAAGGTGAGCACGGTGTGGGGGCCCAGGCGGGCGTAGTAAGGGGTGAAACCTTTCCAGAGGCTGAAGAAACCCTCGTACCTCACCACCTTGACCAGCACGTCCTGCCAGGGAGGTGGGAAAAGAAAAAAAAAACACCAAAAAATTAGGAGAGAAAGTGTCTAAAATTGACCAGCACGTCCTGCCAGGGAGGTGGGAAAAAATCACCAAAAAATTAGGAGAGAAAGTGTCTAAAATTGACCAGCACGTCCTGACAGGGAGGTGGGAAAAGAAAAAAAAACACCAAAAAATTAGGAGAGAAAGCGTCTAAAATTGACCAGCACGTCCTGCCAGGGAGGTGGGAAAAGAAAAAAAACACCAAAAAAATTAGGAGAGAAAGCGTCTAAAATTGACCAGCACATCCTGCCAGGGAGGTGGTAAAAAAATCACCAAAAAATTAGGAGAGAAAATGTCTAAAATTGACCAGCACGTCCTGCCAGGGAGGTGGGAAAAGAAAAAAAAACACCAAAAAATTAATGAGAGAAAGCGTCTAAAATTGACCAGCACGTCCTGCCAGGGAGGTGGCAAAAAATCCCCCCAAAAATTAGGAGAGAAAGTGTCTAAAATTGACCAGCACGTCCTGCCAGGGAGGTGGCAAAAAATCCCCCCAAAAATTAGGAGAGAAAGTGTCTAAAATTGACCAGCACGTCCTGCCAGGGAGGTAGGAAAACAAAAAAAACACCAAAAAATTAGGAGAGAAAGTGTCTAAAATTGACCAGCACGTCCTGCCAGGGAGGTGGGAAAAGAAAAATAACCCAAAAAAATTAGGAGGGAAAGCGTCTAAAATTGACAGCCCCCATCCAGGTGTGAGAGGGAACCTCCCCTTAAAAAGGGTAAATTGAACAGCCCTGAAAGGATGGGGAAGGTCCTGAAAAAATGAGTCCAAAGTGGGGTGGGAAATGCCCCCCAAATGATGGGAAATTCAATTTAAAATGACAGGGAACCTCCTCAAAAAATGAGCTCGAAGTGGGGTGGGAAACGCCCCCCAAAAGATGGGAAAGTCAATTTAAAATGACAGGGAACCTCCTCAAAAAATGAGCTCGAAGTGGGGGCAGGAAATGCCCCCCAAATGATGGGAAAGTCAAAAGGGAACCCCCCCAAAATGATGGGGAACCTCCTGAAAAAATGAGCTCAAAGTGGGGCGGGAAATGCCCCCCAAATGATGGGAAATTCAATTTAAAATGAAAGGGACCAACCACACCCCAAAATGATGGGAACCTCCTCAAAAAATGACCCCAATTGTGGCAGGAAACGCCCCCCAAATGATGGGAAAGTCAAAAGGGAACCCCCCCAAAATGACAGGGACCCAACCACCCCCCAAAATGACACAGAAATCCCCCCCAAAAAGTGAGGGGGCTGCTCCAAAAAGGTGGGAAAGTTCCTGCCCTCCTTGTCCAGGTTGAAAGGGAACACCCCCAAAATGATAAGGACCAACCACACCCCAAAATGACAGAGAAACTCCTCAAAAAATGACCCCAACTGGGACAGAAAATGCCCCCAAAACAGTGGGAAGGTCAAAAAGGAACCCCTTTAAAATGACAGGACCCAACCACACCCCAAAATGAGGGGGAAACTCCTCAAAAACTGACCCTGACTGGGACAAAAAACGCCCCCCAAATGATGGGAAAGTCAAAAGGGAACCCCCCCAAAATGACAGGGACCCAACCACACCCCAAAATGACAGGAAAATCACCCCCTAAAAATAAGGGGGACCCTCCCCAAAGCCCCCCACCCCTCCCAGAGCTCACCAGCCCGTTGCGGTACTCGGGTTTGCCGTCGATCGTCCGCATGTTCTGGATCCTGCCAGGATCATTTCATGATCAGGGGGGCGTAAAACCAGGCAGATTTTGGGGTAATTCCCCTTTCCCCTCCCCCCCCAACACAAAAATGTGGTAATTAATTAGCTGAAAAGGTTAAAGGAGGGGAGGAACCCACCGGGTCTTGGCGATGTCGACGGGCATGGAGGCGGCCGTGGTCACCAGCCCGCTGATCATGCTGGCACAAAAGTGGCACAGGATGTCGTCTCGGAAATGCCCTGAGGATTTAGGGAAGAAAACCCCAAAAATGTTAAAAGGGGGGTGGGAGAGCTTGCCAGGATTTGGGGGGGACAAAAGAACAGGCTGAGCTCACCGAGTCGAGCAGGGATTGCTTGGATTGGGAGTAGGAGGCGAGCTGGGCGGCGTTGACGACCACGAGCGCGGGCCATGGTGGGGATGCAGCCCTAAAGATGGGGGGAAATGGGGTGGGGGGAGTTGAGGGACCCCCTTGCACCCCCTGGAGCCCCCCTTTTATCCTCCCCCTTTACCCCATTTACCACCCTCATCTCCCCAGCACCTCCCGACGCTGACCCCACAGTGGGGATGCAACCCTAAGGTGGGGGTGGGAGGGGGGAGAATATGGGGTGGGGGAGTTGGGGGAGCCCCCTGCACCCAGGAGCCCCCTTTTCATCCTCCCCCTTTTACCCCATTTACCACCCCCATCTCCCCAGCACCTCCCGGCGCACCCCACAGTGGGGACACAGCCCTAGAGGAAGGGGGGTGGGGGGGGAGAATATGGGGTGGGGGAGTTGGGGACCCCAGGAGCCCCCTTTTATCCTCCCCTCCATTTACCACCCCAATCTCCCCTGCACCTCCCAACATCCCCTGAGGGGGCGACCCCACAGTGGGGATGCAGCCCTAAAGGTGGGGGAAGAATATGGGGTGGGGAGAATATGGGGTGGGGAGTTGGGGACCCCCAGGAGCCCCCTCTTTACCCTCCCCCATTTACCACCCCCATCTCCCCTTGCACCTCCCAACATCCCCCCTGAGCGGGGTGACCCCACAGTGGGGGACACAGCCCTAAAGTGGGGGGATGGGGAAGGGGAGAATATAGGTGGGGGAGTTGGGGGACTCCCCTGCACCCCCTGAGCCCCCTTTTTACCCAATTTACCACCCCCATCTCCTCTTGCACCCCTCCCAACATCCCACCTGAGCGGGGTGACCCTCACAGTGGGGGGACACAGCCCCAGAGGGGAGGAGAATATGGGGTGGGGGAGTTGGGGACCCCAGGAGCCCCCTTTTACTCCTCCCCTCCATTTACCACCCCCATCTCCCCCTGCACCTCCCAACATCCCTCTGAGTGGGGTGACCCCACAGTGGGGGACACACTCAAGGGAGGGGGACACACAGGGTGTGGGGGTGTTCCTGCACCCCCAAAACCCCAAACCCTGAGACCACCCCCAAACCCCAAATCTTGAGACCACCCCCAAAACCCCAAACCTTGAGACCACCCCCCCAAAACCCCAAACCCTGAAACCACCTCCCTCCAAAACCCCAAACCCTGAGACCACCCCAAAAACCAAACCCTGAGACCACCTCCAAAACCCCAAACCCTGAGACCACCCCCCAAAACCCCAAACCTGAAAACCACCCCCAAAACCCCAACCCTGAGACCACCCCCAAAAACCCCAAACCTGAGACTATCCTTCCAAAACCCCAAACCTTGAGACCACACCCCAAACCCCAAATCTTGAGACCACCCCCCAGACCCCAAACCCTGAGACCACCCCCCAAACCCCAAACCCTGAGACCACCCCAAAAACCCCAAACCCTGAGACCACTCCCAAAACCCCAAACCCACGAAACCACCCCCAAAAACCCCAAACCCCGAGACCACCTCCCAAAAACCCCAAACCCTGGAGGACCACCCCCAAAACCCCAAACCCTGAGACCACTCCCCAGACCCCAAATCCTGAGACCACCCCCAAAACCCCAAACCCTGAGACCACCACCCCCAAAACCCCAAACCCTGAGACCACCTCCAAACCCCAAAACCCTGAGACCACCCCCCCAAAACCCCAAACCCTGAGACCACCCCACCAAAGCCCCCAAACCCTGAGACCACCCCCCAAAAACCCCAAACCCTGAGACCACCCCCAAACCCCAAATCTGAGACCACCTCCCAAAACCCAAATCCTGAGACCACCCCCAAAAGCCCCAAACCCTGAGACCACTCCCAAAACCCCAAACCCTGAGACCACCCTCCCAAACCCCAAACGCCTGAGACCACCCCCAAAACCCCAAACCCTGAGACCACCTCCAAAACCCCAAACCCTGGGACCACCCCCAAACCCCAAAACCCTGAGACCACCCCAAAACCCCAAACCCTGAGACTACCCCCAAAAACCCCAAACCCTGGGACCACCCCCAAACCCCAAACCTTGAGACCACTCCCCAAACCCCAAACCACTGAAACCACCCCCAAAAACCCCAAACCCTGAGACCACCCCCCCAAAAACCCCAAACCCCTGAAACCACCCCCAAAAACCCCAAACCCTGAGACCACCCCCAAACCCCAAACCCTGAGACCACCCCAAAAACCCCCAAACCCTGAGACCACTCCCAAAACCCCAAACCTGAGACCACCCCCCAAACCCCAAACCTTGAGACCACCCCCAAAACCCCAAATCTTGAGACCACCCCAAAACCCCAAACCCTGAGACCACTCCCAAACCCCAAACCCTGAGACCACCCCCAAAAACCCAAACCCTGAGACCACCCCAAACCCCAAACCTTGAGACCACCTCCCAAACCCCAAATCTTGAGACCACCCCCAAACCCCAAACCCTGAGACCACCTCCAAAACCCCAAACCCTGAGACCCTCCCCCAAACCCCAGAGACCACCCCCTTTTCCTCCCACAAACCCCCAGGTAAATGATGGGGGTCCCAAACAAGGGTTCAGCAGGAGGGTTGTGGGAGGCCTGAGAGGATTCTAGGAGTAAAAGATGGATTTTGGGGGTGGGGGGTGTGTGTAAACCCCTTCCCCCCTCCTCTTACCCTCCAGAGGGTGAGCACCCCCTCCTCCCTCGCCATCCTCACGAGGGCGTCGAAGACGTTGCGGTACCCGCGGCGCTCGCCAGGGGGCAGCCTAGAGGAGGGTTTTTTTTGGGTCAAAAAATGAAGATTTTGGTTAAAAAAAAAAAACTAAAATTTGTGGGAGGAGAGGGGAAAAAAAAAAGGGGAAGGGGAAAAACCTGACCTGCCATCGGCCGTCATCCGGATCAGGGCGACCTCGGCCGGGGTCCCCACGAAGGCGCCCGCGGCCCCCGCCGTCATCCCCATGGCTGCCTTGGCCAGGAAGGGTGGGGGGCTCCCGTCAGGACCCCCAAAACGCTCCAGGAGGACGCTGTAGATGCCCAGGCGGGTGGTGGTGTAGGTGGCCTGGCGCAGGAGCCCCGCTGACAGCCTTTTTTTTGGGGGAAAAAAGGACATTCCAAAAAAAAATGGGGTAACCTCGAAAGATGGAGGAGCCCGAGAAAAGGGGAGGGGGAGGGAAGAGTTTGAGGGGTGAGGGTAGAGGGGTTGGGGAGGATAGTGAGGAGGTTGAGGGGGTTAAGGGGAGTAGGGTGGGGTTTGGGGGTCACAGAGGGGTTTTGGGGGTCCCCTACCCTGTGTAGATGCCCCTCGTGGTGCAGGGTATGAAGGGACAGGGGTTTGGGGAGATCACAGGAGTGTTTAGGGGGTCACAGAGCATTTTGGGGGTCCCACACCCCACATAGACACCCCCCAGCCCCTCGTGGTGCAGGATGGGGCCCAGGGCATGAAGGGACAGGGGGTTTGGGGGGGTCACAGAAGGTTTTGGGGGTCCCCTACCCTGTGTAGATGCCCCTCGGAGTGCAGGGTGTGAAGGGACAGGGGGTTTGGGGAGGGCTGGGGGGCTCACAGAGAGTTTTGGGGGGATCACAGGGGGTTTAGGGGGGGTCACAGAGGTTTTTGGGGGGGTCACAGAGGTTTTTGGGGGGGATCACAGAGGGTTTTGGGGGGGTCACAGAGGTTTTTGGGGGTCCCACACCCCACATAGACACCCCCCAGCCCCTCATGGTGCAGGATGGAACCCAGGGCATGAAGGGACAGGGGATCAGAGAACATTTTGGGGGGGTCAGAGAACATTTAGGGGGTCCAAAGGGTTTTGGGGTCCCCACCCGTGTAGACGCCCTGAGCCCTCGTGGCGCAGGATGGAGCCCAGGGCGTGCAGGGACAGGGGTCGAGAGAACATTTTGGGGGTCACAGAGGTTTAGGGAGTCTACAGAGGTTTTGGTGGGGTTCAGAAGGTTTTTGGGGGTCCCCTACCCCGTGTAGACACCCCTGAGCCCCTTGTGGTGCAGGATGGAGCCCAGGACAGGGGTTTTGGGCTGGGCTGGGGAGGATCACAGAGGTTTTTGGGGGGGTCACACAGATTTTTGGGGGGGTCACAGAGGGTTTTGGGGGGTTCAGAAGGTTTTTGGGGTTCCCCTACCCCACATAGACACCCCCCAGCCCCTCGTGGTGCAGGATGGGGCCCAGGGCATGAAGGGACAGGGGGTTTGGGGGGGTCACAGAGGTTTTGGGGGTCCCCTACCCACATAGATACCCCCCAGCCCCTCATGGTGCAGGATGGGGCCCAGGGCATGAAGGGACAGGGGGTTTGGGGGGGTCACAGAAGGTTTTGGGGGTCCCCTACCCTGTGTAGATGCCCCTCGTGGTGCAGGGTGTGAAGGGACAGGGGTTTGGGGAGGGCTGGGGGCTCACAGAGGTTTTGGGGGTCACAGAGGTTTTGGGGGTCACAGAGGTTTTTGGGGGGGTCACAGAGGTTTTTGGGGGTCCCCTACCCCGTGTAGACGCCCCTGAGCCCCTCGTGGCGCAGGATGGAGCCCAGGGCGTGCAGGGACAGGGGGTTTGGGGGTGTTTTGGGGGTCCCCTACCCCATGTAGATGCCCCTTACCCCCTTGTGGCACAGGATGGAGCCCAGGACAGGGGGTCAGAGAACATTTTGGGGGGGGTCACAGAGGTTTTTGAGGGGGTCACAGAGGTTTTTGGGGGTCCCCTACCCTGTGTAGACGCCCCTGAGCCCCTCGTGGCGCAGGATGGAGCCCAGGGCGTGAAGGGACAGGGGGTCAGAGAACATTTTGGGGGGGGTCCAGAGGGTTTTTGGGGGTCCTCTACCCTGTGTAGATACCCTCCAGCTCCTCATGGTGCAGGATGGAGCCCAGGACATGAAGGGACAGGGGGTCAGAGAACATTTTGGGGGGATTACAGAGGGTTTTTGGGGGGGTCACAGAAGTTTTTGGGGGTCCCTACCCCGTGTAGACGCCCCTGAGCCCCTCGTGGTGCAGGATGGAGCCCAGGGCATGAAGGGACAGGGGGTTTGGGGGGTCATAAAGGGTTTTTAGGGGGGTTCAGAAGGTTTTTGGGGGTCCCCTACCCCGTGTAGACGCCCCTGAGCCCCTCGTGGTGCAGGATGGAGCCCAGGGCATGAAGGGACAGGGGGTTTGGGGTGAGCTGGGGAGGATCACAAAGGTTTTTGGGGGGGCCATAAAGGGTTTTTGGGGGGGTCACAGAGGTTTTTGGGGGTCCCCTACCCCGTGTAGACGCCCCTGAGCCCCTCGTGGCGCAGGATGGAGCCCAGGGCGTGCAGGGACAGGGGGTTTGGGGGTGTTTTGGGGTCCCTACCCATGTAGATGCCCCTGACCCCCTTGTGGCACAGGATGGAGCCCAGGACAGGGGGTCAGAGAACATTTTGGGGGGATTACAGAGGTTTTTGGGGGGGTCACAGAAGGTTTTAGGGGGTCCCCTACCCCACACAGACACCCCCCAGTCCCTCATGGTGCAGGATGGAGCCCAGGGCGTGCAGGGACAGGGGATCACAGAGGTTTTTGGGGGGGTCACAGAGGTTTTTGGGGGGTTCACAGAGGGTTTTGGGGGTCCCCTACTCCACATAGACACCCCCTGAGCCCCTCGTGGTGCAGGATGGAGCCCAGGGCATGAAGGGACAGGGGGTCACAGAGGTTTTTGGGGGGGTCTGAGACGTTTTTGGGGGGGTCATAGAGGTTTTTGGGGGTCACAGAGGTTTTGGGGGGTTCAGAAGGTTTTTGGGGGTCCCCTACCCCGTGTAGACGCCCCTGAGCCCCTCATAGTGCAGGGTATGAAGGGACAAGAGGTTTGGGGAGGGCTGAGGGTGCTCAGAGAACATTTTGGGGGGGTCACAGAGGTTTTAGGGGGTTCAGAAGGTTTTTGGGGGTCCCTACCCGTGTAGACGCCCTGAGCCCCTCGTGGTGCAGGATGGAGCCCAGGGCGTGCAGGGTCAGGGGGTTTGGGGAGGTCATAAAGGGTTTTTGGGGGGTTCAGAAGGTTTTTGGGGGTCCCCTACCCCGTGTAGACGCCCCTGAGCCCCTCGTGGCGCAGGATGGAGCCCAGGGCGTGCAGGGTCAGGGGGTTTGGGGGGGCCATAAAGGGTTTTTAGGGGGGGTCACAGAGGTTTTTGGGGGTCCCCTACCCCGTGTAGACGCCCCTGAGCCCCTCATGGCGCAGGATGGAGCCCAGGACAGGGGGTTTGGGGAGGGTTAGGGGGTCACAGAGGTTTTTGGGGTCCCCTACCCGTGTAGACGCCCTGAGCCCTCGTGGCGCAGGATGGAGCCCAGGCGTGCAGGGACAGGGGTTTGGGGGGTCATAAAGGGTTTTTAGGGGGGGTCACAGAGGTTTTTGGGGGTCCCCTACCCCGTGTAGACGCCCCTGAGCCCCTCGTGGCGCAGGATGGAGCCCAGGGCATGAATGGACAGGGGGTTTGGGGTGAGCTGGGGAGAATCACAGACGTTTTTGGGGGGGTCACAGAGGTTTTTGGGGGGGATCACAAGGTTTTTGGGGGTCCCCTACCCCGTGTAGACGCCCCTGAGCCCCTCGTGGCGCAGGATGGAGCCCAGGGCGTGCAGGGACGTGCGGTACTCACGCCCCTTGGCCCCGGCCCCGCTCAGCTGCATCCGATTCTTCACCAGGTCCAGGGGCTGCACGAACACCGTGGCCCCCATCCTGCAATTTTGGGAGGGGGAGGTCAAAAAACACCCCAAAAAAACATTCCCACCCCCCAAATCCCCCCCCAGGTTGAGGAGAGGGGGGTTCTGAAGGAGATTTTGGGGGGTTTTAGGGGGTCTGAAGGGGGTTTGGTGGGGTTTGAAGTGATTTTTTTTTGGGGGGAGGGGAGGATTTTGGGGATTTTGGAGGTCCAGAAGGGGGTTGAAGAGGGGAGGGGCCTGTAATTTGGGGGAGTCAGGAGAGACCTGGAAGGGATTTTAGGGGGGTCTCAAGGGATTTTTTGGGGGAGTTTTGGGGACACCCTGTAGGGGTAATTTGGGGAGGGGAAGGGAGAGGATTTTGGGGATTTTGGAGGTCCAGAAGGGCTTGGAGGAGGGGAGGGTCCATAATTTGGGGGGAGTCAGGAGAGATCTGGAAGGGATTTTGGGGGGTCTCAAGGGATTTTTTTGGGGGAGATTTTAGGGGACACCCTGTAGGGGTAATTTGGGGGGGAAGGGGGAGAGGATTTTGGGGATTTGGAGGTCCAGAAGGGGCTTGGAGAGGGGAGGGCCCATAATTTGAGGGGGAGTCAGGAGAGATCTGAAAAGGATTTTGGGGGGATCTCAAGGGATTTTTGGGGGAGTCAGGAGAGATCTGGAAGGGATTTTGGGGGATGGGGGGTCTCAAGGGATTTTTTTGGGGAGATTTTGGGGACACCCTGTAGGGTAATTTGGGGGGAAGGGGAAAGGATTTTGGGGATTTTGGAGGTCCAGAAGGGGCTTGGAGGGGGAGGGTCCATAATTTGGGGGAGTCAGAAGAGATCTGAAAAGGATTTTGAGGGGGTCTCAAGGATTTTTTTGGGGGAGTCAGGAGAGATCTAAAAGGGATTTTGGGGGTCTCAAGGGATTTTTTTGGGGGGAGTCAGGAGAGATCTGGAAGGGATTTGGGGGTCTCAAGGATTTTTTGGGGGAGTCAGGAGAGATCTGAAAGGGATTTTGGGGGGTCTCAAGGATTTTTTTGGGGGGAGATTTTGGGGACACCCCTGTAGAGGTAATTTTGGGGGGAAGGGGAGAGGATTTTGGGGATTTTGGAGGTCCAGAAGGGGCTTGGAGAGAGGGAGGGTCCATAATTTGGGGGGAGTCAGGAGAGATCTGAAAGGGATTTTGGGGGATGGGGGGGTCTCAAGGGATTTTTGGGGGTCAGGAGAGATCTGGAAGGGATTTTAGGGGGATAGGGGGTCTCAAGGGATTTTTTGGGGGGAGATTTTGAGGGATACCCTGTAGGGGTAATTTGGGGGAAGGGGGGAGAGGATTTTGGGGATTTTGGAGGTCCAGAAGGGGCTTGGAGGGAGGGGGAGGGTCCATAATTTGGGGGAGTCAGGAGAGACCTGGAAGGGATTTTGGGGGGCTCTCAAGGGATTTTTGGGGGGAGTCAGGAGAGATCTGAAAAGGATTTTGGGGAGGTCTCAAGGGATTTTTTAGGGGAATTTTGGGGAGCCAAAATTTTGGGGGATTTTCAGAGGGGGAGGAGGAGGAGGAGGATTTTAAAGGGATTTTGGGAAGGGCTGGTGAAGGCTCAGGGGGTTGAGTTGGGAGTTCCAGGGGGTTTT